AAGAATTTTGTTTGCTGAAGACATGCCAGGTGCTGGTCTCTTCCCGCTAGATCACAGCTGCTGTTTTCTCTTAGTGCATAACTTGAGTAGCCCATTACAGCTCGGGCCTCGTATCTAGAAGAAAACAAAACAAAAAAAAGGTGGTAAAATGCTTCCAGTGATCTTATCCATGTGCCTGTATGCTGAAATGTAAGGGGGAGAAGTGTTGCTTTTCTGCTGTGTGGTTTTGTGTGGCCTGGCAGGTCCTTCTCATACATGGGGAGAAGAGCAGAACTGCTGCTGAATGGGGAAACTGAGGAATTGAGGTTTTCTTTTGCCTAATTTCGGGTGAATATACTCTGCTATTTGGAGAACGCTGTTTTAAGTGTCACAAGGAAGGGTGTAGACATAGATAAGGCAAAATGGGAAAGATAAAACACAAACTCTTCTGATGTTAGCAATGAGAAGTGCCCCCCCGCCCCGCCCCACATCAGGCAGTAGGGTGCTGACTGTTGTGTATGTGTGTGGTTGCCCTCCACTGGTTGATATTAGAATGACCTCTCTGTATCGGATCTCTTTTAGCCAAATCAGTGTGTTTCTTCAGATTGACTTTGAAGAGTCAGGAGCATTTTAAGTGGAGGGATGAGTTGTTGAGAACTGTTCAGTGCAACTACTCTTCATCTGCAAAGCCACCCTGGGCAAGAAGCAACATCTGAGCTGGTGAAGCAGGAGGAGTTGTCCAGTGCCAAGGGATTTGCAAAAGGAGATTCTGTCACTAAACATGGCCAAGGTTTGCAGAGGGGTGCAGGTGCTCGCAGCAGGGTAGCCAGGGCTTGGAGAGGCTCCAAAACACATGTTGCTGCAAGACACAGCTCTGAGGAATCTGTCATCAAGGCCTGGTGACCCCGTGGGGCATGTCATTCCTCAAAACAGGCTGCACACCCCCCGCCTCCTGGTCTGTTCGGGGAAGTAGGCTTGAGTTATGCATCAGGCTGAGAATTATGTGGCAGTTTTAATTACCAAACTGTTTGCTGACCTTCAGTTTTATGAAAATAATCTAAAAGTGAGTTTATCAGCACTTAAATGCTGTTACAGTGTAGAAGCAGAGGCTTAGAATATTTAAGGGGACTGCATCCAGCACTTGTGATTTCCACTCGGGTGTGTTATACCATGTCCTTGAAGGTTGCTGATATTCACCAAGTCGGATAATCCTGGTCAGCAAAACCAGTGACTTCTGGTTTTGCTTGGTGGTTTTTGTTTTTTTTTTTTTTTTTCCTTTTTTTCCTTCTGGATCAGGACCAGCAAAGTCAGGAAGATAGCCGTGTGCCTCGCAAGACCATATTCAGGGTGAAAACTTGGCTCTGCACTTGAAACAGATTCAAAACGTATATACTAGGAACTATAGATCTTTGTCTTCTATGGATTTTGGCAAGACAGCTGTTAGAGGAAGCTGAAAGGAAAACAAACCTTAGAGGAGCTTTCGAGTTTCATGAAACTCAATAGTTTCACTTCCCAGTAACAACAGAAGACATTTCAAAAAAAAAAAAAAAAAAAAATCCCAAACCTGGTGACACCTAGAATTTAAAGACAGCATCTAATCCATTCTTTTTTCCTCCCACTAAAGCAACCAGATGGGATCTTGTCTGTGATGTGCATGCCTTGTGTAGCTCTCTGCGTGTTGGGTACATGAAAGATTTGAGGAAATGATTGTGTAGTGGTTGAGCAAAAAGATGGCAGCAGAGGAATCCTTAAAAGGATGTCTCTTAAAATGTCTTTTAATATCAGCCCAAGCCATTTCATTTCACAGTGTTGCTCTCGTGAATGTTTTATCACCTCCTACAGGTATTAAAGCTTATGACACCACTAAAGCACCTTGGATTTTAACGTGGAAGTGGTACATGTGTCTTTAATTGAACAGATGTATTCCTCTGTCAAGATGTAAACGTTGGAGAGAAGGAAACACAGTATGCTGGGAGACTTCTCCCTGTCACCAGGTCATGGGTTCAATGAAGAACTTATACAGAGTTACTTCTATTACATGTTACAGCTTTATCTGGTTCAGATAGCTCCAGGAAAACCTTCCACTTTCTCTTTTGGCATTTCTTTGAATCACAGAACAGATCAGGTTGAAAGGGACGTCTGGAGGTCTCTAATCCAGCGTCCTGCTTGGAGTAAAGCTAAGGGCAAATGTCAATGAGGTCACTCAAGGCTTTGGCCTGTTGAGTTTGACCATTGCTGGAGTGGAGGGTCTACCACCTCTCTGGGCTCCTATTCCAGTCATTTGTTTTCCCCTTGTATATCCAGTCATAGGAGACCACATCAAAAACCTTGCTGATGTCAGGGTAATCAATGTCAGCTGCTGTCTGCTCATCTACCAACCTGGGTGCTTGGCTGCCGAAGACAACCAGAGTAGTGAGGTACATGTTGCCCACGATGCATCTGTGCTGTTCCCTATGATGTTCTTGCCCTTCATGGGCAAGATCTGTTCCATCCATCCTTACCTGCAGACTTATGTAGGCAGCTGGGCAGGGTAAGTGCAGCCTTTCTGGTTGCGTCATTGTCCCCTTTATTCCTGTCTCTGAGGTACAAATACTCTCAAGAGCCAGTTTGTGTTGTCAAAGTTTGATGCTTGGAAACTTACTGCAGATAACCTTGGCTTTGTCTTGACTTGGCTGCTCGCAGGCTTTCATTGCTGAAGCTAATAAAGCCTTTACAATTGCTTAGAGACACTTAAAGTTGTTAGTGTTTAAATAAAGGGATTAATTTCAGGCAGCCTTCTGCTAAACTTGTATGTTTGAATTTTGAAAAAGTGTCTTTTCCCTGTGAGGTGTGAACAGGCTCTGAAAACCAGTTAACTTTTATCAGCTAAATGGACTGTAACTCCTTGTGAGGAGCCGCTGAACTCTTTGGCATCGATTTACACTTGCCAGGCGATGGAAACAATTATGTCGGCTTCATGAAGAATAAATAGAGAGGGGTCTTGCACCATGAATATATAGGAAAGTGCGTCAGGAACACCTGCCCTTTAAACCTACTCCTGCTGTTGATTTTATTGATGATTGAGTCGGTATTTTAACATTTCCATGACTTGGTTTCCTTGCCTATAAATGACTTGTGTCTTCCTTTTGGGATATTGAGGACTGCTTGCTATCATGTATAAAATGCTGTCAAGGTAGGGTGCCAAGTGAATACAAACTATTTTATTTTTAGTGCCTTTTGAAATCTTGGACTTTTTGTTCTCCCTTTTTATCTGTCTCTTTCTTTTTAATCACACAAAATGGAAATAAACTCAATCACAGCTGTTGCTGGAGAAGAATCATTAGGCCCATCCAGCTGGCTCTCTCGGGGCCAGCGCAGGATTGTTCCCTACGCTGCATTTCAAAAGTATTTTATCTCCTTTAGTCTTGCGTGTGTGCAGAGTGATGAGCGTCTTTCACTTCTGTCAGCTCTCTTCATTGATCCAAATGGGAAGGGCTATTTTTAGGTGGCTGTAAGTAAACGGACATCAGGCACTGCAGAAAGGGAACTGGATTATTTTTGGAAACCCATCAGCAGCCATTCTGGCAGGTCCTGCTGCAAGTTTTGTCGTCGGTTGGGCTGTCTCAGGTTGTGGTATCAGTTCCTGAGGTTGTGAACCTGGTTTCTAGGGTGTGATTTGCCATCCAAATCTGGAATTAGCAGCTGCTGGAGATTGTCTTGACAGCATCAGTTTATGGGAGTTGATTCCCCCTAAACCAGCCTGGCTTGGAGGTGTGCAGGGTGGTGATTGAGCTGGAGATTTTGGGGCAGAAGATGAGGTCAGTTTAGGGGCAACATGTGACATACACCTCGAGTGGAAACAAGCCCATGGAGACGACCCCACGGTTCAAGCCCTGGATGAATGTGCAGAAGACTTGGCGTCTGTTAGTGGCCGCACAGCAGGTTTTGGTGTGCTCTTGGGCAGTTCGTTTGGGTTTATTCTGCTTCAGTGGATTGCAGAAGGATGACATTTTCTTGGGTTTCCTTAGTCTTTTTTTTTATAAGTGTTTTGGGATAACTTCTGCCTCTCGCTGAATTTGTGCACAGAGCTTGCCGATGCTGCGTGGAGCCATTAGGCACTCCAGTTACTCGGCTGTGAATGTGCGAGTTGGAGTCCGTGGGGGCAGTGACTAAACCTACACCATTGCTGGTTGGAGAGCTTGAAAAGCCCAAACAGAAAACATTGTGTATGTGATTTAGTTGCACATTATCTTCTCTCTCTCTCTCAGCAAAGACCCAAGTCTAATTTCAAAGGTCAGAACATGCTCCCACCTGGGCGTTCCAGGCCTTTTATAGAGCAGTTGAAGGCCATTACCTAAAATTAGCTGGCTGCTTGGGGAAAGCTGATATTAGTTTCGTATTAGGACTCTTTTCAGAGCTCTTGATGATCATTTACTTGATGGGATCCTATTGAAGTTCATGGGTACAAGGTAGAAAATGAAAGACAAATAGCACCCAATACTGCTTCTTGGCTGAGAAGAAAAATCTGGTGGGCACAATTCCTCTTCTTCTTTGGCACAGTTTTTCTAGGGTGATTTTTGATGGTGGTTTGTTTTAGTTTTCTGCAAGGATCTCTAGTGAAGCTTTCCTAGGTAGGCCACTGGACTGCCTTTAGAGTGGGACTTATTTTTATTTTCCTCAAACTTCCTGATGAACCAGACATGCTGGGCAGCACTGGGAGGGGAACACGTGATTCTGAAGCAGGCTTAAATTGTAAAGCACAGACAGATCTGCTAAGCAACAGCATTGACACGTTTAAATAAATCTGCTGTTGAGTAATATAGAGTGACATATTGAGAGCAATTAAAAAAAAAAAAGGAAACTCGGTACAAATTTGGGAAGTGACTGGAACGGAAACAGAACGTAGATGTTAAAGAGGACATTGGATAAAAGAGGGTGAGGTCCACTCCACCAAAGGACCATACTGGAGAACCAGGATGTCCATCAGGAAGTGTGATTCAATAGCAGAAGTGCAAATTTATGCTGAAATTGTCTCTTGGCAGTAGGATCCTTGTATTTCTACTTCTCTGCCAACACTGATGGTTGCAAGGATTGGAAAAATTAACACTGCTTAGCTCAGCAAGGAGCACGTGGTGGGACGTCAGAGGGCTTAGAGAAGGTAAAGTGGCAGGCCTTGTTGCTGTGACTTTTTTTACGGTTGTTCCTTTGGGTCTGTAGTGAGTTGGGTGACAGTCCTGTTGTATCCATCACTGCTGAGGTATGTAACACTGTAGAAGAGGGCACGGACTGACTTAGGAAGGTTTGTATTTGAAGCAGGTGAAAGGAAATCACTCACGGAGCTCAGCTGTGGAACTCACTGCTGCAAGAAGCTGTGATACCAAGCATGGTTTTCTTTTTTTTTTTTTCCTTAACAGTTCAGACTTTGTACGCAATTGATTGCTTAAAAAAAAGTATGTTGATGGGCAGCTTCTCTTCTTCGAGGGCTCATGCAACTCCTGTTTGCTAGTGGTATGGGGAAAATTGTTCCGAATAAGCTGTTCTGTGAGTATGATTTACGAGTATTTTGCACCAAAGCAGCTGGAAATGAGCACTCAGGAGTGAGGCACTGAAGTGGATGGATCATTGGTTTGATCTAATATAGCCATCCTTGTGGTTTTTTATTATTTTTATTGGATTCTATACCGTGGTCAAATTGAGTTGTGAATTTTGTGGCTATCTTAATGACTTTGTTCCAAGCCGATGCCTTCACGTCTGTCTGCATGGCACGCTCGCGGTGGAGTTGGTGGCTGTGTCACTGAGCCCTTCACAGCGTGTGTTCACCGGCAGCTTTCCCAAGCTCTGGGAACGTCTCCCCTTTTCTTGGCTGAGCATCAGGTATTTACTCTGGATACGAGCCGTTTTTGTCCAGTGGATGGCAATAGTTAACTCATGCACTACCCAACCTGTTATGCTGTTAAGCATAAAAAGAAGATAGCTGTGCGGTCCCCCGCAATATTTCTGTGCGATCTGAGCCATTTATGGTTCAAGCCACTGAGATGAGAGTGAGATGGCACAGCATGAGTGATGCTAGGCCTCACTCTTCTGCCCACAATAACCGATATAAATGGCCAGAAGAGATGTTTGTTGCTTCCTTGTCCATTAGGACCTCTCAGCATCTATTTTGCAAATGGTCCCTGAAGCTGGCGTGAGTTGGAAACGGTCTGATCTTTGGGATGATGGCTGGGAGACAGCAGCTTGTGTTGGAAGAGATTGCTTCGTCTGCATGAGCATTGTGCTGGCATTGGGTCCCGCTGCCCGTTTCTGAGCTGCTCCAAGGACATTTGGCCCCACTTATCCAGCAAAAATAGCTGTTGTGTGTTGGAGATTTCTGCCTGGAGTATTTTTAAGCCTGGTGCGTCCTTGCCAAAGTAGCTTCAGCCTTCCCAAATGTACCCCCTCTGCTAACATTTGGATTCTCTTCACCTTCTGTTGTGAACGGGCAGGTGGGACTGCGCATGGTGAGGATTACTTGGGCAATCTCTGAAGTGCAGAGAGTATCCACAATATCCAGGGCACACAGTTTCTCTGGGCTGTGAAAATGTGGTAGCGACGTTAACTATTCAGAGCCCTGCACATCCTGCTGTCAATCCAGGGAAACTGTTAAGCTATCAACTTTGCAGAAACTTGGCTGGTTTAAGCTGCTCAGTGCTAGCACCAGTCTCACCACTCATTGCAGTGGGTGAATAGCTAAAGCGTTTGGATTATATGATTACATCAGACAGATTGTTTCAAAGCCACAAGGTATTTAGCTGGCCTGTGTGTTCGATACCCAGTTAATAAGGATTTCTTTAAAAAGACACTGTTTCTTAGCATTAGATTTTCTTTAATGTTGTCAGAGTGTTCTAATAAAATGGGACTTTGGCATCTGGTCTTATCTCTTAGTCTTCCAATAACTGTTGAATCCATCAGCTGCATTCACTCGGATTGGAGGGGTAGAGCTCACCAAAGCATTAACTCCCTATAAATATCCTGGAAATAGGAAACTGAGGCTGTCTATGGGGTACTGGAGAGCCCCATGGAAGATTGAAGGCATCAAAGAGTCAGTGTTCAGGCTTCACTTGTGCTGGTGTTCCCAGAAGCACTTGCTGGGGCTACACTGAGACAACAGATGATATTTTTCTCGAAGTACAGTGCTGAGCGTCACAGGGGGCGTTATAAGTGCCTGACTAAATTAATAATCATTCCAGCTGTTTCTCCAGCTAGCTAACAGGACACCATTAGATTCAGGAGAGCAGCTGGGAAGCGGCTTCAGACCAGGCTCTGTGCTTGACAGGTTTTTGGTTTCAAAGGCAGAGGATTTAGAGGGGAAAAAAAACCCAAAACACCCAACAACCAACTCACACAAGGAGTCATGCTTTGGTGCCCCAGCTTGGAAAGCAGCGCTGAAGCTAAAAGCTCTATTAGTGGGTTTCAATTTACTCAGGCTGAATCCTTCCCCGAGGATTGCTCATGTTCTGTGGAATTACAGGGTTTGGTGTGATAATGTTTTCTCCCTTATTGCTCCCTTTTGCACTTCCTCGGTGTGAGCAGGCAAAGCAGCAAAGCTCTTGCAGAGACTGGAGAGGCGTGAGAGCACTCAAGGGTTTGCATGGGAGTGCAGCTCTGTTAGACCAGGAGTTGTGCGGGCACGGCAAGATGTGGTCTAAGGAGGCTTCAGAAATAATAAATATCAACAGAAGAAACCAGTGCTGGGTGTCTGCCTTCAAACTGCTGGTCTCTGGGTGACCTGCTGCAAGGAAGGAGGGTGGAGATGGGGCACAGGGAAGCACGAAGGAGAACAGGGATGAACTAAACTGATGGGCTGACAGCACTCATCTGTGGAGGGTGCAGAAGACACAGTGAGATGCTGAGGTTGTGGGAGAGGGAGAACAGGAGAGACCCAAAGGGGGGAAAGTGGGATTTGGACACTGGAGGAAAGGTGGTGAGAGAAGGGCAGGGAAAATGATCTCAGCAGCTGCATTTTGCGTGGCTACTCCTGTATCCTGCAGCTGTTCATTAGAAATTCTGTTTATGCCACAGGGAGTTTTGGAGTCTCTGAAGCTGACACAGTTTTAATAGACAAAGACATTTTGAGTGCAGCACATCTGCTCCGGGATGCTAAGGAACAGGCTCCATGCGGCAGTGCCATTGGTTGAAGCATTACATCGTGCTTTTTTTATTTTAAGACCTCCTCTCTTTTTATCTTAAAAAATAATTTTTGAGGTCAAAAGAAATGCTGTGCTTGCTCCTTAAGTTTGCAGCCCTTAAACATTCCTGCTGTACTCTTCCTAATATCCCTGAGTTCCCAGCCCTGAGAGTTAGTAGAGTTGCCTTTTCCTCTGAAGGATCCTAAGGCATTTCACAAAAGTGGCCATTGTGGAGGTGTGAAGCAATGGTTCAGTCAAGGATACGCTGCATAACACGTGACGATGCAAAAAAATGCCATCGTGAGTATGACATCTGACTTGTGCTTCCCAGAGTATGGAGGGTTGCTGATGCCTCCCGAGCCCCAGGTGTGAGCTGGGAACTGGAAGTTTCCACATAAAATTAAATAATATGTGAATTATGTAAATGACCAGAATTTCATAAAACTAGGGTGTTTGGCTGTTCAAGGTTTTGGTGGGGTTTTCTCCTGTTAAGTTTCAGATCTTAGGAAACACTAAAAGGGAACCAGCTGGCTTGGACTGCATCTCGCCCAGGCTGCAGCAGTGAAGTTGTGTTGGGACCCTCAGCACGGGCACAAGCTTGGGGCTGGAGGGAGCAGAGGCCTCCTTTGCTTCTCTGATGAGCTGATAGCACGCTGCATTAGCGAAAATTTGGTGAGTGGATATATTAAACTGATCAACCTATTTCTGGGCAGATTCAATCTAACCCGTAGCTTAACTTTTATAGCCTGAGGCTTTCCAAAACCCATCTAATCTTGCTCAGTGATTGAATCTACTTTGTGCAGGTGAGAAGATAATTCTTTCCTGCACCTCCAACTTTGGCCAAGTTTCTTTTGATTCCTTTTTCCCCGACCTCTCTCTTAGGCCTTCATTAAACAGGACAGCGTAACTTTTCCCTTCCTAACTGGTCTGTTATTACTAATCTGTCCCCCCCATGTTTTCTGTGTTTTTTCTACCTACCTGTTATGATAGGAGCTATGCTGGACACAAGCTGAGTAGTTTGCTGTTTCCCATCCTGCCTTTTCCAGGGACTGGGTGGTGTTAGTCTTCTCCAGCTATGCAGCTTGAGACTAGGTTGTTTATGTTTCTTTATGATATCTTGCAAGTGAAGCTCAGGGCACCAGTGACAAAGCAGCGCACAGCGTGTGTCAAATTATCCAGCATTTCAAATCCAAGCAACGACTTCGCTTTGTAGAAATTTAATTATTATGCATTCTGCTAGTGCTTATCTTCTATCATACACTCTTCTGATGGTTAATAACTTTGTTAAGCACACCCACAAGCTTCAGGCACTGCGTTTCGTTCTCTCTGTGTATTTTGAAGTGACATATTTGGCCGCTCTCACGTCTGCACATCCTAACCTGTATAGTGCAAGTGTCCTGCACAGCCTTTCATTAGCTGGACTGCAAACATCTGGTTTGTTAGGCCGGCTTAAGTCACCTGGTCAGGTTCCTTTTTGCTTTGCATGACCATAGTAATTAGCTTTTATTTCTTTATTTCAGCCATCATAACGTTGCTTTAGCTGGCAGAGATCTTACGCCAGCAGCATTTTTACAACAAGGATGCTACACGCCGCATCGCTTCCTGCCAGCACGTAGGTACCTTGTGCAGGAGGGAGGTCTGTAGGTACACTTCATGGTACTCCGAGTGTTTTAAGGGTAGGCCATGCCCTGGGGAGCTTACAGGTTAAACAGATGGGGAGAGGAATGGCCAGACAGGCACGTTCACTGTGGCTCAGTTCACCACTGAGCTGGGGCTTTAGAAAAGGCTTGCCAAGGTGCAGTGCTGGGTTGATGAGTGAAAGGAGCTTCTAGGGGGTCCAAGAAAGAAACAGGAGGTAAACACTGGGTGTTACAACTCCAAAGGACCAGTAAAGCTGTGGGCATTTGTGTGGTGGGGGAGGAAGAAGCTGAACAGTCATCGACTTTTCTAAGAAGGTTAGAAAAAGAAGAGACTGACCTTAGATTTATTTTTATCCCATGGCTGACCTTAGGCTTAACTATCCTTCTTTACTAAGACAGGGACAGGACAGCCTGCTCTCCACTCCATCCTCGTCCGGGCTTGATTTTTATTGGAGGTGTGTTTTCTCCAAAGCAGTTATTGTGATTCCATCTCTCTGTGCAGAGTGCTTTTCCACTCTGGTATGTGGCCAAATCTACACGAGTCTTCACATTCCAAAGCCTACGCGTGCACAGGCGCTACCAGCTACTGGTATAACAGCAGTAGTGGGGTTAGGACAGCTTTTACACAAGCCTAGCAGAGGTGGTGACATGTTGTGTGGGACGGTGACATCTTTCTCCTAAAACTTCTTCAGATGGTGAACATGCAGATTAGTTGAGCCACTGGATTCGTGCTGTGTTGAACGCCTGTGAGTGCAGCAGAAAAGCATTTAATGTCCCTCACCTAATTGGGTCTCAGGTGCCTGGTAATGAGAGGGGTTTATACCCATAGGACCCCATCTGAAGCTAGTCCAAATTAATAGAGTCCTGGCAATAGTTGTGTTTGTGCATCCGTATTTCTAACTTGCATTGTAATGAACTGTGTTGGAAAAGAACCCACCTGCTTTATCAATATGGGTGATTACGGCACGTCAGGTAATTTAGTTATTTGGCATGATCGATCGGGCTGTCTGAAACAGAGCGGCCTCCACTTACGTAGTGATGAAGTGTTCTCCAAAAAGTGCAGAAGGCCGTCAGCTTGCTAATGAGACTTGTGTGCAGCTGCCCGCCCCGTGCATCAAAGGCTTTTCTGAGAGGAGAGGAAAGGCTGGTGTTAGACACACAGCAGCACAGATACAAAGGGGAAGATTGGGAGCGAGTGAAAGAGCGATGCCAGGGAGGGAAGGTACATTTGGAGCTGGTTAGCCTGGTTGATTTGGTCACGTAGCACTGATGAATGTAATGGCCCTGCACCTTGCTTGCATGTAGCAGTCGGGGTTTTCTGGTTTCTGTAGCTTTTCTGGGGGTGTAAACTTTCTGACGTGCCTGGGTCGTGCAGACTGACTGCTGACCTGTCCCCTTGCCTGCTGAATTCTTCAAGAAGCCACCCACATGATTTGTGCTTGTTAGAGGCTCCTAAGTGGAGATGCTCCATCTCCAGAACTGGCTTCTTTTCTGTGTGTGGGAAATGGGGCAAACTTTCCAGAAAACCCACAGAGACAGGTTATTTTCCATAGTGACCCACCCTACTAAGCAGGATGCTGTTAAACACTGTGTGTGTTTCTGTGCTCTTTGGGCAATGTTTCCTTTTTTCTTTTAACTTATCCAAGACAAAGAAAACTTTAAATTTATGCTTAAGTATGACCTGAAGCATCTATTAGAAAGCAGGAGCCTGAATTCTGCCACATTTATTTGCTGCTGAGGAGGTGGTGACAATGGTGTTTTAGGGAGGTGAGAGAGGTTTGCATTTCTGCCTCGGGGAATATAATGTGCCTGAGCTATCTAGGGCTGAAAACAACAAAGAAAAGCAAGGACCTGAGCTGCCTCTCAAAGTCAGTGTTTGGAAAGCCAGCCCTCTCCTCCTGTCTGGAGTTGACCTCTGCCCGCTTCTCTCATACGATGCGAAACGCTTGGCTCTTCAGTGTGGTTTTACCTCAAGACAGTTCTTCATTAATCGCTTCGAGGCAAAGGCAAAAAGAGCCTTTCCCTCCTCCCACACCTTACCTATCCCATTTAGCAGCGAGCAGATCAGCCACGCACCTACTCCTTGAGTAGCTTGTGCCACTGCGCACAACGGAGCGAAGTACCTGCTTCCTCAGTTTGCTTCCTGCTTCCCCCGAAAAAATCTTTCAACGCTTTGTAAACAGGAACACAGCAAGCAGCACAACATCAGCTTTCTTGTAAAGCTCTGCCCTGCGGTCCCTTGCTCTGCGATTTGGGGAGGGGGGGAGGGAATTGCATCAAGGGTGCTCTGCTGTTTGGTACTGCAGAATATAAAAAGATTTGCTCATAAGCTGGCTATTTCTTTGTGCAGAGAAGTGTTGCTTGTGTGCAGGCTGGAAGAATAAATAAAACAATATGGCTTGTTTATTACCAGAGAACAACACTAAATAATAAATTTAAGAACTAAAAGCTCAATATGTAAAGTAGATTTTTGCAATGCATTATGCAAAAAGCGAGAAGGCACCAGAGAAGGAAACTGCTGGAAAAAGGCAGGCTAGGAAGATGGACGATCTTGTGGACAGGACAATTAGATGTAAAGTGAATCCCAAGCTGGTGCAGCTTCTAGGGTGTACCCAGGCAAGTTGTTTCTCCGTACCTCCATTACCTGCTCTCTGAGAACTGGATGAGGTTTTACTATCTTAAGGATTTAATCAGAACAAATGAACGTTCACAAACCACTCTGTTAACCTCAACTGAGGAGCATGACAGACCTTTGCAGAGGGCAAAGCAGGCAGGTTTCTGGATGCACTTCAGGGAGAGATTTCTGTAGCTTTTGCTTGCCACAATACCGAACATCATCTGGAGTGTGCTCTTGTCCCTGTGCTCCAGATGGGGAAAAAAAGCTGTGAGCCAGACTGTCAGTTCTTCACTTGTCTGCCTTGAAGCAGTTTGAGTTCACCTTTTGCTTTATAAAGAGGAAGAATGGGTCATGGAGGTTGTGTGATTTCCACCCCCCCACCCCCCGCGTGCTGGGGAGAGGCAATGTTAGAGCTGGGGGCAGACCCAGGACATCTTCACTCCAGGTTTCTGCTCACATTTCTGAATTAACTGCCACCTGAGAGCCCAGGCAGAGCATCATACAATCATTTAGGTTGCAAGGGACTTCTGGAGGTCTCTGAATCTGGGCATTGTCCAGAGAAGTTCTATGGATCTTTTGGCCTCCTATCCCAAGGGTTGGCTTTGGCTAAGCGGGTAGTGGCCAGAGCTGCGGTTTAAGGGCACTCCCCACCTCATGTGTTTTTTCATTCTGCCTGTGCTGAAGCCCTGGAAGATCTGTTTGCTGTCATCACAGACAGATTTTAGGGTTGCAGGTAGTCTGTAGGAGGAACCCACACTCCCAGTCCTTCCTGTCCTCTTCTTCCTGCTCTCAGCCTGGATGGCCAGTTCCCAGTTCTCCCTCCCTTCTTTCTTTCCTTTCTGTGGTGATGAAGCAGCTCAACTTCCATCCTTGAGAGAGCAGCACTCTGTTTTACCTCCACATCTGTGACTGTCAGCTCCATCATCTCTTCTGGGTATCAATTTCCCTGTTCACGAGCATTAGCTCCCAGTAGCACCACCAGAAGTACACACACATGTGCATCTTGGGATCTTGAGCCTGTTGGGGTTTTATCAGATGCTGCTGCTGCTGAAGAGCAGCTAAGGGAACTGAGGAGGTTTAGTCTGGAGAAGAGGATGCTGAGGGGAGACCTCCTGGCCCTCTGCAACTCCCTGCCAGGAGGGGGCAGAGAGGGGGGATGAGTCTCTGGAGCCAAGGCCCCAGCGCCAGGCCCCGAGGGAATGGCCTCAAGCTGCCCAGGGCAGGGTCAGGCTGGCTCTGAGGAAGGATTTCTGTGCAGAAGGGGCTGTTGGGCGTTGGAATGGGCTGCCCAGGGCAGGGGGGAGTCCCCGGGATCCCTGGAGGGGTTGAAGAGTCGGGCTGAGCCAGCGCTGAGGGATCTGGGGGAGTTGGGAACGGTCAGGGGGAGGGTCATGGTGGGGCTGGAGGAGCTTCAGGGGCTTTTCCAACCGAGATAATCCTGTGATAGCCAGTGTCTTGTTGTCTGGAACCTGTTCCCACACAAGCAGCACAGGGAAAGTGTAGAAGTACAGGGCGAACACACATGATACTTCCCCTAAGATCGTTCAGCCGCTGCCTTCTTCAGCATACGTGGCTTCCTGGTGTTGCTGGAGCGAGCACATGCAGGGGCTCTCTTGGAGGTTTTTTTCCAGGACCCCTTTACCCTGCCCAGCTGCGGATGGGGAGCATGGATGGAAGCAGCTTTGGCTTCGTGTGGAGCTGCAAATGTGCTGAATGTTCCTCGGTTTAGATAAAAGCTTCTTAAAGCCGGGGATGCAGTTTATCCTACAGATTACAAGACCTTTTACGGCCTGGGCGTGTAGCAGTGTTGATCTTAGCCTAGGAGGATTCCTCTGTACCTGTGAGCTCTCGAGATGGTACAAATCCCTCATGATGATCCCTAAGGCTGTAGCATGCAAAGCATTTCAGAGTGAATTTTCCATCTGCTCCTTTTAAAGATCTGCTCTCAAACGTACCTTAAAGCACACACCTAATAGATTTATTCTCCTTGTTCAACTGCTCCTGTTCCCAAAGCGATCGGAGATTTGGGTTGTAATCCTTTCCTTTGAGAGCATTAGGAAGTAGAAAGTTACCACTGCTGAAGGGCTACGTGTGTTTGTTTCTTTTCCATTTCACCAGAATCCCTGTTCTAAAGGGGGTTGGAATATGCTGTATTTTCTTTGTTAAGTAGAATTTTCTGCTTCTCCTTTACAAAAAAAAAAAAGTGATTTTTTTTAAATTTATTTTATTTCATTTTTAGTGCTTGTGAAAGAGACCTGGCAATAGGAACTGTCTATTCAAGACTGGACAGGTGAAGCACAGGAGCCACTAACACGCACTCTCTGACATCCCTCGCCGTCCGTCAGGAGGGAGCCTGTGTGACAGGTGGGTACGGTGCTTCGTTCTCCAGGGAGAGCGCCAGCACAGCACAAAGTTTGTGGAGGTAACATAGCAACAATAACACTGCAGGCACATCATTTGATGAAGAAAGAGAGCAAGGACAAATAGGGGTACGTACAGACAGAGTTTGGGAGGTCTTAATTTAGGATCTCTGTGGATTTTCTTTCTGGAAAGCGCACTGCAGTCTGTGCCTAATAGTTATTTATTGCTGTGCTAGGCTCTGGAGGACTGTTAAGTTTAAAATTTCCAGGCTCTGTTCACAAATACACTGAGAAAGGAACAATATTTCCCTAATTTTATAGGGCGATGGACAAAAGGAGGTGTAAGTGGGGAGGAATAGGTGTGCTCAGGTGTTTGCAGAAGGACCTCGGTGACAGAACATTGGCAGAGTATTGACTCCACGGACATCCACAGATCAGACCAGCCTGGCTGTTTCTACTAGAAAGGCAGAATGAGGGAGAACCTCAGGCATTCCCATAACTTCACTGGCACGGGGAATGCCTACTGTGGAGTTGAGGAAAGCTGAGAATGCAGCCTGAGACTTGAACTAAGATGTGGCAATGTGCTCAAACAGCAGTTCAGTCTCGCAGCCCTGTGCTGTGCGAGAAGGAACTGCACCATGCAAACCTGTCGTGCCCAAGTCGGTCAGGTTGGCACTGGGGAAGAGGCTCTGGTAATTATTGAGCTTCTGATTTCCTAAGAGCTCTTCCTGCCTCTTTTTTTTTTTGTGTGTGGTGTGTGTAAATTAGATCTATCAGGCAGCGACATCATGTTATCATGTCAGAAAGGCTTTCTCAGTGTGGGACTCGATCAGTTTAAAGAACTAAATAGTATTTGAGAGTGAGAGAAATGAGTTGGCTGGAAAACCCAGCAAACTAACTTGTTTCTCTTCCTCCCAAACTTCTTTTTGGGAACTATAGAAAGTAACAGCCTTTTTCCCCAGGGCTACTTATTGCTCTTAAATACACCACTGAAGTCTCTCTTGGTAAAACCACAGATTAGGTTTTTACTTTACTTTTTTTTTTTTTTTTTTTTTTTTTTTTTTTTTTTTTTTTTTCCTTGAAGTCCTAATAACAATGTGTTACAACCTCAGGCTCTATCGAGTTGATGAGGAATAAAGTCTTAGTAATGAAGAAGAGTCTGAGAGTGTGTCTAAAGTGCTTGCCTTATCGCCAGCACATATTTCATACTGACAGTCAATACTTTTAACTGATCCTAAGCCACGTGTGTTGCATTTTAAATGCCTCCCCAGCCTGCTCTGGTCTTTCCCGCATGGTCTCTTCCAGACTAGTGTCAGAGTCAGTCTGTCAGCTTCTGGTTTCTGAGCACAGGGATTTTTAAAATTCACAGCCCATGTTTTTAGGTCAGGAGGATAAAGTTTGTTCTGTGTCAACTGAGTGGAAGGGCCAGAGGAGCCACTGGAAGGATTAGGTGTCAGAACAGCTGCAGAGGATCATGTGCAAGAGTGATGGATTTAGCTTCTCAAGGACCCCAGTTGCCATTTTAGGGAGTCCAGTTTGCCATTTTATTACTGTTTAGGGCTCATAAAGGGACAAATCAAATACAAAGGAACAAAATTTAGATGGAATCTCAGCTGATAACCTTTGGGACTGCCTCTACTGCCTGTGGGGCAACTGTTTTCTCAGGCCAGTCTGAAGCAACATGTCCACGTGCCTCCTTATTTGTTCCTGGCCGCATTTATGATCACTTGTTTCAGTGTTGTCTCAACACCTTGCAGGATTTGACCGCAACTTACCCCTTGGCACCCCCAAACAAAACAAAAAAACCCAGCAGAGCTTGTTTTCCCACGCGTGCCTTGAAGTTAAGCTGTTTTTTAGATTCGCTGATGTTCCAGTGAGTATGTGCTTTTGGTATTTCCCTCAGGAAAAGGATTAATAGGGCAGCTCTCGTCTCCTGGCTAGCTGTTTGCAGAGAACTCCTAGCAGTTCTAGGATCTTTGCAGCCCCTGTGAGACCATGTTGAAATAGCAGGGACTGACCCACGGGGGCACAAACACGACAGTGACGGCATGAGCTTCGTTTCCTGGGGAGAGCTTAAAAAGGGGGAAAAAGAAAGAAAAATAGACTTTAAAAGCTTTTTAAATTTTTATTATTTTTGCCTTCAGTTGCCTGGTTTGTACACTGGTGCATGCTAAAACCTTCCTGTTGTGTAGCAGCGGTCCCAGAGGCACGATGCAAGTGTGCTGCTGTCGCCAGGGCTCCCTGTGCCTGACTGACAGCCCTGGGGATTTACATTCATCACCAACCTCTCGCCCAGCCCGGGCAAATGCAAGTTGGAGTACAGAGAATAGTGTTAAAATGTCCTGCCAGCAGAGCTGAAGCCTCCCCCATCTGCCCACAGCGACTTTGCTGCCAAGATTCAAGAAAGCTGATTTAGCCTTTTGCTGACTTTTTAGCCCTTTTATCTTCCCGGCCTTCTGAGATTTACGCCAGTGCCGTTTGCCAAACAACATTATGAATTTAAAATTTGCCTTGTTTTTAAGTGTCCATACTGCTGTGCATCTCAGTTGGGGGTCAGGTTTGGGGGGATTCTCATTGAATTGTGGGGCGTTGATGTTACGGACAACAAATGGCCTTGTAACAAAATAGGCCTAGGAATTGTGCTTTGTTGTTCCACTTGTTTCCCCTTTCATTATGATTTTTCCTGGTTAAAATCAGATCTTCCATTTATTTTTTCTGACACACGTTTGTGTACTACACTGAAAATCATTCCTGACTTTTTTCTGCTCCTTTAAGGTGAACTCCTGTTTCGCTTTGGCCCGTTTCCAGATCTCTGTTTCAGCTGAGATTTGCTTCCTCGTCGCCTTTCTGCTAATTCTTGATGAGTAGATGAGAGGAGTATTAAATAGATTTAGTGAAAAATGACCGTCACCAGTGTAGATGACTTTTCTCTAATTAAAAATTGAAGCGGAAATGAATAAGCTTCTCTTGAGGCTGTGCAAGAGTCAACACTAAGCCCAGCACTATATTCATCAGTGATGTGGGAAGTCCAGTGTATGAAAGAATATCCCAGAAACTTAGGTACCTCGGAGGATGCTAATAAAAGGGAAGGGAGAGTTTCTGGTGGCAGCATATTCACACGGCCTAGATTTAAATCTGTTGACATAGACCAACGACTCAGAGCTGAATTTGCCATGTCCTTGATTTCCATGCCCATGCTAGGTAGGCATTCAGTGCTGTAGCAGAGTTTTCCAAGCAAAAAGGCACGTCTAAGCAAGCTGATGCTGCTTGGGTGGTGTGGTACCCAGCAGATCCTAACTTGGGCGTCTTTGTTTTGATGTACAGTGTAGCCTTTTCCAGTTTTGACCAGAAATTCTCTACTACGCAGCCAGCTGGTGGAGGTAATCGTAACCAACACGAGTACGTTCCCTGTAAACTTTCCCTTGCAATGAATCAAAAATTTCCAGCAGGAAATGAAAGCAAAACACTTCATCTAAAAATTCCTCATCAGCTCGAGTCACTAGACCAGAACAATAGCGATTACACTCATTTATGCAGTAGAAATTCACAACACTGCTGTGTCCCAGGATCACAACATGCCATTAAAAGGCGGGTGGAGAGAGCAGGTGTACATTAATATCTCCATTTTGTACACGAGGAGACAGGGGCTTGCAGATGTTAGGGCAGCTCCTGCAAAGTTATGCAGCAAGACAGAGGCAGAAAGAGGAAACCAGATCCACGGGCTGTGTTTTTTTCTGGTCTGGCCACCAAAGCATCCAACCCTAACGAAAAGCAGAGTGCCCAGAGAAGGCCATGTGAATTCCATCGCTTTCTTAGGTTTACTGGTATTAACCCCGGAGGTTTTAGACATGTATGAAGGTTGTTCTTTTGCGGAGAGGACGGTTGCTTTTAAAAACCAGCAACGTCTTAGGTCACTAGGGGGTCATTTTGTTTGCATTGTCTGAATCTATGATTGTTCCCTTGTAGGAATGGCAGAGCATCAGCCGCGCAGCAGCGATGAGAGAGACTGACATTCGTACGAGTCTCTTCTGGCTCCTTCTCCACAATGGCTGGTGCCTCTGCATATTCATTGGATGGTAATGCAGGATGTCAAGAGCAGCAGTAGAGTTTGGCTTGATCCCATTGTGTTTTTCTTCTGCCGGTTGAGACTTTGAATCACCATGACAACGCTGTGACACTTCCAGCAAAGGTTGCCCACAGACCAGGGGTGGGCTGGGGGTGGGTGAGAAGGTCAATGATTAAGTCTAACAGGATCAAAAGTTGCGCCTGCAGCAAAACGACTGTAGAAAAGCCGTCAGCACGACAAGAAGATGAAATTCCCCTTCTATTGGCTTCTCGTTAAGCAGGCACAATAACATTTTTTTTCGAGAGACTCGCTATAAAAACTCTTTTGGTTATGGCTACTGATCCAACGTGATTGGGCACGCAGCGACTTTTGAACTCATGACTGGATATACGATGTTGCGGAATGGGGGAGTGGGGAACGGAGGCCAGCCGTGGATGTTGAGATGGTCCAGTCGGATCCGCCTCACCTGGCTTAGTTTCACCCTCTTCATTATCCTCGTCTTCTTTCCCCTCATTGCCCACTACTACCTAACTACCATCGATGACGCGGACGATGCCGGCAAGCGCATCTTTGGCCCTCGGACCGGCAACGAGCTGTGCGAGGTGAAGCATGTGCAAGACCTGTGCCGCATCCGCGAGTCGGTCAGCGAGGAGCTGCTCCAGCTGGAGGCCAAGCGGCAGGAGCTCAACAGCGAGATCGCCAAGCTCAACTTAAAGATCGAGGCCTGCAAAAAGAGCATTGAAAATGCCAAGCAGGACCTACTGCAGTTGAAGAACGTCATCAGCCAGACCGAGCATTCCTACAAAGAGCTGATGGCTCAGAACCAGCCCAAGCTCTCCTTGCCCATCCGGCTGCTGCCAGACAAAGATGATGTGACCTTCCCCCTGCCAAAATCCAACAGGAACTGCAGACTACACAACTGCTTTGACTACTCGCGCTGCCCCTTGACATCTGGCTTTCCAGTCTATGTCTACAACAGTGACGATTACCCTTTTGGTAGTTCCTTAGACCCTTTAATCAAACAAGCCTTTGAGGCAACTGTCAGAACTAATGTTTATGTTACTGAAAATGCAAATATTGCTTGTGTGTATATAATTTTAGTGGGGGAAATGCAAGAGCCTGTAATGCCAAAACCTACTGAACTAGAGCAACAGTTGCACTCTTTGCCATATTGGAGGACTGATGGACATAACCATCTCATCATCAATTTATCAAGGAAATCAGAAACTCAGAACTTCATTTACAACATCAGCACTGGGCGGGCCATGATTGCCCAGTCCACCTTTTACGATGTGCAGTATCGACCAGGGTTTGATATTGTGGTATCGCCCCTGGTCCACGCTATGTCTGAACCGAATTTCCTAGAAATCCCACCCCAGGTGCCAGTCAAGCGTAAATACCTGTTTAGTTTCCAGGGGGAGAAGATCGAGTCTCTCAGATCTAGCTTGCAAGAGGTTCGCTCTTTCGAAGAGGAGATAGAAGGCAATGCCCCAGCTGACTACGACGATCGGATCATCACCACCTTGAAGGCTGTTCAGGACAGCAAGTTGGACTTTGTTTTGGTGGAGTTTACATGTAAGAACCAGCCTAAGGCGAGTCTGCCCACTGAGTGGGCTCTGTGTGGAGAAAGGGATGACAGACTAGAGCTACTGAAGCTATCTACTTTTGCACTGATAATCACCCCAGGGGACACCCATTTAGTGATCTCCGCCGGGTGTGCCATGAGACTGTTTGAGGCTCTGGAAGTTGGAGCCATCCCGGTGGTTCTCGGAGAGCAAGTTCAGCTACCCTATAATGATGTGATCCGGTGGAACGAGGCAGCCTTAATTATACCAAAGCCACGTATCACAGAAGTGCACTTTCTTCTGAGAAGCATTTCTGACAACGATCTCCTTGCCATGAGGAGGCAGGGCCGCTTCTTGTGGGAGACCTACTTCTCCACCTCCGACAACGTGTTCAGCACAGTCTTAGCTATCATAAGGACTCGAATCCAAATCCCAGCTGCTCCTATCCGAGAAGAAACCGCTGTGGAGATTCCCCACCGGTCTGGCAAAGCTGCTGGTACAGACCCCAATATGGCAGACAACGGTGACCTGGACTTGGGGCCTGTGGAAACAGAACCACCCTATGCATCTCCCAAATATCTCCGCAATTTCACCCTCACTGCAATGGACATCTACCGGAATTGGAATTCTGCTCCAGGGCCTTTCCACCTCTTCCCCTATACTCCCTTCGACCCTGTTTTACCATCAGAAGCAAAATTTTTGGGGTCTGGGACTGGATTTCGACCAATTGGTGGAGGAGCAGGTGGCTCTGGGAAGGAGTTCCAGGCTGCTTTGGGTGGCAACGTCCCCCGGGAGCAGTTCACAGTAGTGATGTTGACTTACGAGCGGGAGGAAGTGTTGATGAACTCCCTAGAAAGGCTCAATGGTCTCCCATACTTAAATAAAGTTGTGGTAGTGTGGAACTCTCCCAAGCTTCCCTCTGAGGATCTCTTGTGGCCAGACATTGGCGTCCCAATCATGGTAAGAGAAAGTTGTAGCTACTACGGTCTTGCTTCCTGGTGGGGTATTTGTACATTAGAGTTGGTCGTAGCTCTTCTGTAGCGTGTCAGCTCAGCTTAAGTCATCTAGGACAGCATTCGTCTCATGTGGTTGTAGATGTCTGTACCTGATCTGGGTGCTTTCTCATCGGAGAAAAACAGGGAGATTACAGGTATGACTCATCTGACCCATTTTAGGTGTTTTCATGAGAATGCTGTGGCTCCTGCTCTAGAAACGCTGTTTTCTTTCCCCTGGCTTTGAAGGGAGGCTGATGTTCAGAGGTGGATGCCTGTGCTCAGTGGATGCCTGAACTTAGACGAGATGAATTGCTGTTGTGAGAGAATTCGTTCGGTGGCCTTTGGGTTATGAAATACAGGAGCTGTTAACGCAGGAGAGCTTAAATTGTAAAAATACGGGATCTTTAGAGGTGCCAGGTATTTAGCACTCAGGAAAGAGTAATTGCTTGTATGGAGCCTGATACGAATCTCAGGGCTTAAAGCTAGAGATTCTTGCTTATTGGAAATCTTTGCTTAGGCTCCCGAAGTGTCACACTGTAAGGACAGTTGGCACCTTATAAATACCTAAGTAGCAACTGTTTCTGCACTTCACCAGATAAATCTTTTATAGAAAGAGGGACCCACTGAAGCTGTGCCTGTTTCAAGGGCCTCAAAAGTCATTTATCACTTGATATTACAGGGGATGGCAGCAATGGAAATACAAGCCAAGGCCAACATGACCGTAAGAGCTTCCATGCTCCAAAGGTTGTGACTGAGTTTTGCTTAGGTTTGGGTTGAATATTTTTTTGCCCGGCCGAACTGAAGAAGTGACACCTTCAAGGGCCAACATTAATTTTCATGCCCAGCTACTCACTTGCATATTGGCAGTGTTGCTTGTAAAGAGTTAATTCTCCCTAAATTATTACTTACTTATGTATGTATTTATTTTAGGACTTCTCTGTCATCCCAGCATAACTTTTTTGCACTGGCCATTGTTCACAATATTAAATATAAATCTCCGTGTGCCCTCGTAAAGAGAGCACGGGCATAGAGCCACTAACAAGAAGCAACACTCTGTTGTCTGAATCCGGTTGTATTTAGAGGACAAATGGAAGGATAATGCCTTACAAATTAGGGAAGTGAAAATAAAAGAGGGAGATGGTACTTAAGTACGCAAACTGCGTGTAGTTTATGTGACAGGACGCTACTAAGCTTAATAGCAATGTGAGCTTTATGCTTCATGCAAAGAGATTCATTGATTTAATATTTCTTTTTATTATTATTGTGATGAATAAATCCTTCTGCTCACATTTAAAAACCCTTATGGTCCAGGGACAATGAGGAGAGAAAATTGCTTGGATAATTGCAAAATAATCTTTCACATTAGTCCTGTTGAATGCCTGAATTCTGTAAAATCTTTGCATTGTGTCTGCTGAAAAACCGTGTACTCCTTCAGAGCTGAAGAGTGGGGATTGTTCTTGGAGTTGCTAATGGGTGTTATTTGTGAAAGAAAAATATGTTTCTGTTGATGGAAGTTAATGGTTTTTTTTTTAACTCTGCTCTCATCTGCTTATCTATTATGTTGGAGGCCCGTGGGCTTTTTTTGGGGGACTTTGACACACATGAGTTGCTTTCTGTCGCCTTCGAGCCACACGCTGGGGTTCGTGGGCCATGGGGGATGTTGGGGATGTTCGGTACCGCTTGGTTCGAGAGGAGGAAATTGTCTTGTGTCTGCTTCGGGATGCTGGGTGGCAACACTGTGCTCATGGCCAAGGGCCAGGGAATGACTGGAGCACAGCAAGCTTCTGCTGGGGTCCTTCCTGAAGGAGTGTGTTGGTCTGATAATAGGTACGCTTTCTTCCCACTTTTCTAAATCCCATTTTTTAAAAAAGCCCAAGTCTCTTGGGATCTCTCATTGGAGGCTTAGCCCATTGCAGCCTCCAGGTATCCATCCCACCGAAGCGCTCTTTGCTAAGTCCACCTCCAGACTGGGTGTTGAAATCACGTTGGCAGTCTGTAGGATTCATCTATATGGATGGTTTAGTACGGTAATGATACAGAAATTTATCTGGGCTTCATCAGTGACAGATCCTAAGACCTGCTGTGAAGAAGGGCAGCAAGAACTTGGGGAGCAGCGACGAGGCTCTGTTTGAGCCTGGGTGCCTGAGACGTGGGATGTGCTAGCCAGGGGAAGAAGCAGGTGGATCCGTGGGGTTGGCAAGGAACACAAGCCCTTATGACTGCTGATGTCAAAGAAACTGCAGAGCTGTGAATATGATTTTCTTACAAGGGAAAAAAGTGTCTTTTGATGGGGAATATCTAATTCTCTCAGATCTTAAAGCAGTGCTGTATCTCTATGAAATAAATATGTTCCAGTAAGTTTGGGGTGCAAGGACTTGCCCTGCGTTCAAGTCCCAAAGCACAGAGCTATGCAGAGAAAAGTCGAGGGAGGGAGAAGTGGGTGGGTGCAGAGCTGGGTGCCCCCGCCTCGATTGAAAAGGGTCTGGGCACCATCTGACTGCGAGGAGCAGCACGGTGGCAGCACGTGTGTCAGTACGATCCGTGATCAAAGCACCCAAAGCCAAAAGGTTACTGAGGTAAATCGCAGCCTAATGAGACAAAGCAACGCGCGTAGCGTGTCCTGGGCAGGAAAAAACCCTTGGAAGCATAACGTAGTCTTAGTCTTAAATCCCACCAGCAGTGCCTTGGTGTGGGATTTAGGACTACGCTTTAGCTGTGAGGCTTTGTGCTAGCAGAATACCCAAAGGAGAACTGGGCTTCCTCCTTTACCCTCACAGCATGAGCTGACCTTAGTTCATCGATCAGTTCCTTGAAACTTCATTTGCAAACTGCTGCTTGGTTGTGATTTGGTCTTGCAAAGCAGGTTATGTGGTTTCTTTTCCCTGGTGGGCTGGGAGTTAATCAAGAGCAAAGCTTGAAGCTGTGTTGGATCTTTGAATCTTTCATGGATAATGAGATAAACAGGGCTACAGAATGTATTTAATTTTTTAAAACTTTTACTTAGATGTAGGTTTCTTGTGACAGCATAATTTACTAAAAAAAAAAAAAAATCAGTAAGATTCCTTAGCTGCATAGGAGTCTCTGATAAAATATTCTGGCCTTGTACCAAGCCTGTAGTGACCAGGTGCAAATACAATTTAATGTAAAGTTGTGTGTGTAGCCATTCAGGGTTGCCCCTGGAACAGATGTGGGTAGATTACCCTCTAATTTCAAGTGCCTTTGTGCTGGAGTTGAGCTGTAAAAATTGTTCCCATCTCACGTTAAATAGTATTGCGACAAAAAGCAAAGGTTGTAAGTGAGAAATCTTGTTTGTGCAAGCTCAAAAACTTGCTTTCTGCAAGTGTGTTTATTTCTAGTGCTGTATTAGAACTCCCCCAGAAGAACCTGGAGAGCGTGACTCTGCCATCACCAACAGCAACCACTGCTTAACTTCTGAGCACCTGCTTGCAGGATTTCTGCAGCGTTGGCTCAAGAGATGTACTTCAGGATGTCTGTGGCATCTGGCAAAGTCACGATATACTCAAGAAATTTTAAAACTGCCTGGAGCACCCATCCCTGACAGCAGTTGAGTCCACTCCCTTGTAGCGAGGGCGAGAGTCCTGCAAAGGGAAAGAAGAATGGAAAGATCAGGGAAGGAAAATGGAAAGGAATTTGGGTTAAATCCTGCTCTGAACAGGTGGAAAGACTGCACTAGGGTTTGAGTGAGGTGGCGATGCTTGTCTGATGCTCCCACACTGCCCCTGCATGCCCATTAATCTTGGAAAGATTTCCAGCAGCAGAATAAAAAAAAAAAAAAAGAGTCATTAAGGAGGAGATCTGGCTCAATCTTGGGATAGAGACTTCCAGCCTCCCCTTTCAGCATCTCCGTGCTCAGGATTTCTAAATAGCGTACAGGTGATGACAGAAGAAACCTCACTCTTTGCTTTGCAATTCCTTGACAGCATTTTCATCCACATGAATAAAAGTGAAGGGGAAACAAATGAAACAAAACACTCAGGCAACCACACACACATCCAGCCCACGCAAATGGTAATAAGATGCACCCAAGAAGATTCAGCTCCTGCTGCGCTTTGTGGTGTGCTTGGCACTGATGTGCTGCTGCTTTCTGGTTGCTGTAGGGCACTTGCTTGCAATTCCTCGGCAAACTTGCAGCATAGATGCAAGCCCAGATGCTTCATAAACCCGGTACATGGTTTTAGCAGCTCTTCAAATCCTCTGGAGCCGATTTTCCGTCCATCTTCTGTGCAGCCCTGAGCAGGGTGTGGATTGGGGCAGGGGGACAGGATTTATTTTCCCTGTTTCTGCTCTGACTTTAATCCAAAAAAATCTAGAAGAATGAATTGAGCTTGAACAGCCAGAGTACCTGAAGAGTGTTTGTTTAAATGTATTTAATATGTATTTCAGAAGTCTGCCAGTGCTGCGTATGTCCTTGGTTTGGTGGGGAAAGCACAAAGCCCTGAGCAGTGAGGTGATTAAGCTCTGGAGCAGCTTGCACTCAAAACAGCCGCAGATCCTCTAATGCAGCAATTAAATTATCCATTTCCCTTTCAGAAAGTTCCTTATAGCCCCCCAGGAGTTGCAGTCTCAGCCAGGAAAGCAAACGGTGCTCAGTCAGCCTCCCTTACCTCCTTTCCTACCCCTATTTCTCAGCCTGTGGGTTGTGCCCTAGAGATGGGAGAAGGTGGGGAAAGGGAAAACAGGGCTCAGGAGAACCCTGATTTTTGGTTATAATCTTGAGTGAAAATAGTTCTCAGCCCCATGTAGACACCCTCTTCCATCCAACTCCAGCGTCTTCGGGTCTGTCTCTTAAAATGGACAAAGGTGCATTTTTAACACTTTTTTTTTTTTTTCTGTCCTTAGTAGAGTAAGGAGAAAGCATCTCATCTTAAGTAAAGGTTTTGCCAACCAGAGAGAGTAACCTGCTGCTCTCAGACTGTGAGGGCTTAGTACTGTGTTGCCAGTGCA